CAAATGTGTTTCGGGTTAAGGTCACATCTCTAAGATTTCTGAATCAAATCAGTAGATTACCCGTTCCACATTGGATTCAAAATTCGGCTGAGAGTTATATATATATATATTTATTTTTTTTTAATTTGCTAGCATTCCGCTGTGGAGACCCCACACATAGAACATCGCATATTGAACCGCGCTTGAATATTGACTCAACTAAGCTTTAGTGCTGATGTGCATGGTGATTCCAAATGTGCTTCGAGACAAATTCACATCTCAGGATCAAATCAGTAGATTACCCGTCCCACATTGGATTCGAGGCCGTCAGTTATATATATATACATATACATTTAAATATATATATATATATGCTAGCATTCTGCTGTGGAGACCCCACACTTAGAACATCGCAAATTGAACCGCGCGTGAATATTGATTCAACTACGCTTTAGTGACTTTAGTGTTGATGTACATGGTGATTCCACATGTGCTTCGGGTTAAGTTCACATCTCAAAGATGTCTGAATGAAATGAGTGGATTACCCGCCGTTCCACATTGTTTTTCAAAATTCGGCTGACATTTCATTGTATATATATATATATTTTTGTATATTTATATGTATACATATATATATATATGGTGCAGCATTGGCCACCCCCCCTCCCCCCCCACCAATGGTTATGGGTGGACAGTCTTCTGGTCCCCCCTCCCCCTGTGGCCTGTGGTGGTGGTATGGTTCTTCTGGTCTCCCCCTGTGGCCTGTGGTGGTGGTATGGTTCTTCTGGTCCCCCCCCCTGTGGCCTGTGGTGGTGGTATGTTGGTATGTTGGTATGTTGGTATGTTGGTATGTATGTATGTATGTATGCATGCATGCATGCATGCATGGATGGATGTATGTATGTATGTATGTATGTATGTATGTATGTATGTATGTATGTATGTATGTACGTGTGTACGTAGGTACGTAGGTAGGTAGGTACGTAGGTATGTAGGTATGTAGGTAGGTAGGTACGTAGGTATGTATGTCTGTGTGTGTATGTGTGTTTGTAGGTAGGTAGGTAGGTAGGTAGGTACGTAGGTATGTATGTCTGTGTGTGTGTATGTGTGTATGTATGTAGGTAGATAGGTAGGTAAGTATGTAGGTATGTATGTATGTATGTATGTGTATATTTATATACACCACCACAGGGGCATCATACCCCCCCCCATCCCATGGGGGGGTGGGAACACGGGACACGGGACCATATATGCTAGCATTCTGCTGTGGAGACCCCACACTTAGAACATCGCATATTGAAACGCGCTTGAATATTGATGCAACTACGCTTTAGTGTTGATGTACATGGGGATGCCAAATGTTCTTCGAGTTAAGTTCACATCTCAAGGATTTCTGACTCAAATCAGTAGATTACCCGTTCCACATTGGATTCAAATTTCGGCTGACAGTTAGTTGTATATATATATATTTATTTATATGCTAGCATTCTGCTGTGGAGACCCCACACTTAGAACATCCGATATTTAACTGCGCTTGAATATTGATTCAACTACGCATTAGTGTTGATGTACATGGGGATTGCAAATGTGCTTCGAGATAAGTTCACATCTCAAAGATAACTGATTCAAATCAGTAGATTACCCGTTCCACATTGGATTCAAAATTCGGCTTACAGTTAAATATATATATATATATAGATATATATCTATATATATAGATATATATATATGTATATATATATTAAAACATATGCTAGCATTCTGCTGTGGAGACCCCACACTTAGAACATCGCAAATTGAACCGCGCTTGAATCTTGATTCAACTACGCTTTAGTGTTGATGTACATGAGGTTTTCAAATGTGTTTCGATTTAAGTTCACATCTCAAAGATTTCTGAATCAAATCAGTACATTACATGTTCCACCTTGGATTCAAAATTCGGCAGACAGTTGTGTATATATATATATATATCTGTATATGCTAGCATTCTGCTGTGGAGACCCCACACTTAGAATATCCCATATTGAATTGCGCTCGAATATTGATTCAACTACGCTTTAGTGCTGATGCACATGGGGATTTCAAATGTGCTTCGAGTTAAGTTCACATCTCAAAGATTTCTGACTCAAAACAGTGGATTACCCGTTCCACATTGGATTCAAAATTCGGCTGACAGTTAGTTATATATATATATCTGTATATGCTAGCATTCTGCTGTGGAGACCCCACACTTAGAATATCCCATATTGAATTGCGCTTGAATATTGATTCAACTACGCTTTAGTGTTGATGTACATGGGGATTGCAAATGTGTTTCGATTTAAGTTCACATCTCAAAGGTAACTGATTCAAATCAGTACATTACACGTTCCACATTGGATTCAAAATTCGGCTGACAGTTGTGTATATATATATATTTATTTGTATGTGCTAGCAATCTGCTGTGGAGACCCCACACTTAGAACATCCCATATTGAACTGCGCTTGAATATTGATTCAAAAACGCTTTAGTGTTGTTGTACATGAGGTTTTCAAATGTGTTTCGATTTAAGTTCACATCTCGAAGATTTCTGAATCAAATCAGTACATTACACGTTCCACATTGGATTCAAAATTCGGCTGACAGTTGTGTATATATATATATATTTATTTGTATGTGCTAGCAATCTGCTGTGGAGACCCCACACTTAGAACATCCCATGTTGAACTACGCTTGAATATTGATTCAACTACGCTTTAGTGTTGGTGCACATGGGGATTCCAAATGTGCTTCGAGATAAGTTCACATCTCAAAGATTTCTGACTCAAATCAGTACTTTGCCCGTTCCACATTGGATTCAAAATTCGGCTAACAGTTGTATATGTATATATATATATATATATGCAGTCGGATCTTTTACGGGCCCACAAGTTCGACATTTTTGTTACATATCATCTTAAACCTCTTGGGGTGGGGTGGGGTGGGGCATGTTAACGTTCGCTTGCACTTGCGTCATGAAATTGATGCTACGTCACGCATGGGGTTGGGGTTGGGTGAGGTGGGGTGGGGCATGTTAACGTTCGCTTGCACTTGCGTCATGAAGTTGATGCTACGTTACGCATTGGGGTTGGGTGGGGTGGGGTGGGGCATGTCACGTTTAAACTTGCAGAAGGCCTTTTTGCGTCATGAAGTTGATGCTACGTCACGCATGGGGTTGGGGTTGGGTGGGGTGGGGTGGGGCATGTTAACGTTCGCTTGCACTTGCGTCATGAAGTTGATGCTACGTCACGCATTGGGTTGGGGTTGGGTGGGGTGGGGCATGTTAACGTTCGCTTGCACTTGCGTCATGAAGTTGATGCTACGTCACGCATGGGGTTGGGGTTGGGTGGGGTGGGGCATGTTAACGTTCGCTTGCACTTGCGTCAAAAAATGAAAGTTGATGGGGGGATGTAACTTTGATAAGGATACGTGTGAGAGTCCTGGTGGGTTGGTTTGCGGTTTATACCAAGTTTGGTTAGTAGGAGTGAGAGGTGGCTCTTGCTACAAAATCGTGAGTTGAAAGGGGCGCACCGCTGAAAGTCAATAGCCCCCTTTCTAACGAAGAAAGGAAAAAAAAAACTGAAGGGAAGGGAACAAAACCCAGGGCAGAGTTAAAGACAAGGGTGGAGGGAAAGCAACGGCGCAGGGAAATCCCAGGGGGGGGGAGAGAGGGGACACAGGAAAAGGGGGGGGTGGGACAAAGAGGAGAAGGTAAAGGCCATGACAGAGGTATAGGTGAGCGTCGGTAAAATCAGTAAGGGAGGGAGAGGAGGATATCCTGATCTCTGTCTATATTGTTCGCGTCCCTCTTCCCATGACCTGCTGGCCAAAACAGTCCTCTACCTGGCAAAGCTGTGAGCTGAAAAAAGGAAAACCGAACTCGGAACGTTTTTGACCACAAAATGCTGGAAGGGTTGACGAATGACAGTCAAGGCCTGGATTCAAGAAGTTTCTGCCAGAATTTTTGAATCTTGAAGCTTGAATCCAGGAAAGTTTGCAAAGTTTGCGAATTTTTGGGATTCAAGATTCAAGATTCTGGGAAAAACTTCTTGAATCCAAGCGCTGACTGACATGGGGCCCTGGATGACAGTCAGCGCTTAGATTCAGGAAGTTTCTCCCAGAGTCTTGAATCTTGAATCCAGGGAAGCTTGCAAAGTTTGCAAATTTTTGGGATTCAAGATTCAAGATTGCGGGAAAAACTTCTTGAATCCAAGCGCTGACTGACATGGGGCCCTGGATGACAGTCAAGGCCTGGATTCAGGAAGTTTCTCCCAGAATCTTGAATCTTGAACCCAGGAAAGTGTGCAAAGTTTGCAAATTTTTGGGACGTGTCTTCGTGTGTGTGTCTGTATGTGTTTGCCACGTTTTGTTGATTCAACGCATATGCCTGTGTATATGAACGTGTTTATATATATAAATATATGGTCCCCCCTTTCACTTAACTGCTCGATTATCATCCTAAACCATAAGATATTAAAAAGGTAGGTCAAAAACGGTAGATCTTTGGGGGGGGTACCATAAATATATATATATATATATACACCCGCATCCTTGCGCAGAACTCTTTTCCAGCCTGAAGCTGTTGAGCCTAAAATTCTAATATGTCAGCCCGGGCAGGGCTTTCAGCCTGCAGGTGTTTTTTCTGCCCGAATCAGTTTTGTTGACTTTTGGGGCTGTGACCAAGTGGGGTTGACCCTAATGAAATATACCCAAGTGGAATCATTTTACATAACCATTTTCCATTCTGAAATGTTTCATTGAGTTTCTTTATGTCTGTGGTTTTCCCACCCGAAATTGCTAAAACTGCTAGAATATGGAAATCAGCCCGCAGGCCGTTTTTTTTTCCCCGAACCCCGATTCAGCTTAAAATTCTGTTTCAGGCTGAAATTATAGCCCGCTTGAGGTTCTAGGTGTAACCGTAGATATAGGGGCCCCACATCCCAAGTTGTCGCAGTTATTTCCCCATGGTTTTCCTCATAAAAGTCACCTCCACATTTTCGAGGTCATGAAACGGCACCCGCCCAGAGCCAGCAGATCGAAGCGACCTTCGTTCCTGTGGGCGCAGGCGGGAGGATGATCTCCATATCTTCCATAGTCATGGGATCCCCAATAGCTGGATGGTTTAGTTCATGGAAAATCCGTTTTGAAAAATGTATGATTTAGGGATACCATAACCATATAATCCCCGGATATCCCCAGACTAATCATCGACCAATGTTGGGTTGTTGCACAGCGCCAAACAAAATGGAAACTGCTTAAAGCTTGAAGATCATGGAAGAGAGGCAGCTGAAGGATACATCTGGGATCTACTGAGAGGATGCACACCGATGGCACGATATTTCTTGGTGATATACATCTCTACCTGACAAAGCTGTAGCCTATTTCCAAATACCCGCATGTATCCCACATGATATGCCCACAAAAGTGTTTTAAATCCTGATGCAGGATCAGGAGTCCCTGATTTCCAGGGGCGCTTCCCATCCCTTGAACGGGTCAAAAACCTCCGCAGGGCGACCATTGACTGCAGCATTGCTGGCAGCGTTGCAGGAACGCGTTTTTTGGGTCGGGGGAAGCTGACCAGAAGTCACACAGCTATGGTATAGATGGCCCATTTACAGACGCTTTACCAATGATGACTTTCCGTAGTTTCCATCGTTTTTTACATGGTGGTGCCCCGAAACCTCATGTTTGATGGTTTATAGAGCCCAATACCTATAGTTCTACATACACACACACACACATATATATATATATATATGTACACACATTTCTATACGCACCCTAAACCATAAAATTCAGCTCATGAACTTAACCAACTTGCAATCTTGCAGTAGCTATTGTTTGGGGGGCCCACCTTGTGGACACACACACACACACACGCACACGAGACGAACATACGGATATCTTAATGGACGTTGGTGGGATACAATCAAACAAATCAAACATGTGATATGTGATTGTGTCTGAACATGGGGCATATACCTTCCAACAAAACCATTAAGTCATATGGACCATTGGCGTTTATAGCTTTTACACCATGGGATTTATTTGACTGTCGTTGATCACTATGCCAATGCTACTGCTGGAAGCCGTTCACTTCAATGATGTTGGGTTAATTTAATTTAATTTTTTTACATCCTTTTTGAGATTGAATGGGTAGATTACCCAGCTAAGATTAAAGTAGCTAAGTAGGGAATCAACAAACCACCAACGAAAAACAAATACTCTTACCGGTTTAGAAGTTTAGCTTCTTGAATCTGTGCGGCATCTTGCCTCGCAGATTCTCCATCAGAGGGATCTCACCTGCCCAAATAGTAACAACTTCTGCAATGAGAGATGATAAGGGGTCAGTCTTCAACAAGAAGAATTGAAACAGTGGAAACAAAAAAACGCAATGCACATTGAATAGTAGAATCGTACTTATACTTTCTTACACTGTGCATTTGTTGCCATTTAACTTTAAAATCACGGAGTGCATGCTTCCATCTCGCCATCGGCCGGTTGCAAGGACCATGGGAATGACACATGTCACTCAAGACTTGCTTTAGCAGGGTTTAGCTGTTTTTTGCTGTTTGTCTTCCCGAAATGGACCGCGCAGGGGAACATCTACCCACTATCTATATACCCGCTTTAAAAGTCTTGTCAGAAAGTTGGAGCACATGGGGCACATGTACATACATGCGCAATATATGTATGCATATATATATATATGCATACATATATATATATATATATATCATGCGTATATATTTCAATATTTACATATATATATATATACATACTAGCAAAATTCAAAAGACATGCGCTAATGGGATACGAACATTCACGATGGGTCGATATGACGATGGGGGCGACGGCACGGCGACAATGTGCCGACTGCCTGACGACGATAGCTCGGCAGCACGACGACGATGTGCCGACGGCTGCCGACGGCATGACGACTGCTTGACGACGACATGATGTTGATGCGACGACAGCGCGACGACCGTCACAAGCCCGGGCTTGACATGTCATAGCCCGGGTTCGGCGCCGAACCCAGGCTTATGACATGTCATAAGCTGGGGTTGGATGCCGAACCCGGGCTTATGACGGTCGTCGCTCCGTCGTCGCACCGTGGTGGCCTCGTCGTGCCGTCGGTCTCTCGTCGTCGTGCTGTCGGCACATCGTCGTCAGGTCGTTGTCATGCTGTCGTCGTGCTGTCGTAGTGACTCCGTCGTCATATGGGCCCGAACCATCGTCAAAAGCCTCCCGTCGTGGAACTCCTGCTTCCACTAGGAAACTTGGTTTGCATGTATTTAGAATTTAGCTATTTATTTATTTATTTATTTACTTATTAATTTATCATTTTATATACATATGTGTGTGTATATATTTACAGTTATATAATATGTATATATGTGTACTGTACAATAACGCGTCTACCTTTCTATTGGTTTCGGATATTGCAAGCATTGCTATGTTTGGTTGGGTCCCGTGTGTTTTTGTCTTGCCAGCTCCTTTCTTGGTCGTCAAATCCAAGGTAACCCGTGCGTATTCTTCAACTCTGCACAGGGCTGTCGCCACGGACGCATGTGTGCATACTGTGCCTTGTGCTGAGTCGGCCTTCCATGTTGCAAGGGAAGGACGCCAAGTTAGGCACTGAATTTATTATGTATGGATCTCCGTTGAAATTTCCCCATGGGTCATTTTGTAGGAAATCACTTTCCAGATCCCAGCCTGCCAGCACCTCGCCATATTGTAAGAGCAATAAAAATAAATATTTAAGCAGAAAATCGCTATCATATAGACATGTCAAAATCCAGTTTGAAAACTTGGCTGGGTTGGGGCCATTCATTTTGTAAGGAATCCCTTTGTTGATTTTAGTGGTCATTTTGTAGGCAGTTGTTGCTATTCTTGGAAAACGAGCTGCGCGCCGAATTCCGCATAGATTTTGGCTGTTGCATCAAAGCCCCCTGTTAGTGCTTTATCTCTTTTGAGCCTTTTGCATTATTCCCGAGAGCGTCTGAGCGCAGGGTTCTTCCAATAGTGGGGGTCTGTATCTCATCTTCTCATCTTCACACCTTCTCATCTTCACACCTTCTCATCTTCACACCTTCTCATCTTCACACCTTCTCTCACACCTTCTCATTTTCACATCTGCTCATCTTCACATCTTCTCTCACATCTGCTCTCACATCTGCTCATCTGCACATCTGCTCATCTTCACATCTGCTCATCTTCACATCTTCTCTCACATCTGCTCATCGTCACATCTGCTCATCTTCATATCTTCTCTCACATCTGCTCATCTTCACATCTGCTCATCTTCATATCTTCTCTCACATCTTCTCTCACATCTTCTCTCACATCTTCTCTCATCTGCTCATCTTCATATCTTCTCTCACATCTTCTCTCACATCTGCTCATCTTCACATCTGCTCATCTTCACATCTGCTCATCTTCTCTCACATCTTCTCTCACATCTCCTCTCACATCTTCTCTCACATCTGCGCATCTTCACATCTGCTCATCTTCACATCTCCTCTCACATCTTCTCTCACATCTGCTCATCTTCGCATCTGCTCATCTTCACATCTTCTCTCACATCTGCCCATCTTCACATCTGCTCATCTTCACATCTGCTCATCTTCACACCTTCTCTCACATCTTCTCACCTTCACATCTTCTCTCCTTTCTCTCTCCTTTTTCTCTCTCTCGCCTTCTTTATCTTTCTCTCTTTAGGCCGAGGGTGCACGAAACGTCAACTCTTTCGCACGAAATGAGGGTCGATCGGCAAAAACTGAGGTAAAAGTGCGATTTTACTTGTGCCGGAGCAACCCTTTCGCACGAAATGAGGGTCGATCGGCAAAAACTGAGGTAAAATTGCGATTTTACTTGTGCTAAAGCAACCCTTTCGCACGAAATGAGGGTCGATCGTCAAAAACTGAGGTAAAATTGCGATTTTACTTGTCCCCGAGCAACCTTTTCGCACGAAATGAGGGCCGATCGTCAAAAACTGAGGTAAAATTGCGAGTTTACTTGTGCCGGAGCAACCCTTTCGCACGAAATGAGGGTCGATCGTATTCGATCGTCAAAAACTGAGGAAAAATTGCGATTTTACTTGTGCCGGAGCAACCCTTTCGCACGAAATGAGGGTCGATCGGCAAAAACTGAGGTAAAAGTGCGATTTGATTTTACTTGTCCCGGAGCAACCCTTTCGCACGAAATGAGGGTCGATCGGCAAAAACTGAGGTAAAATTGCGATTTTACTTGTGCCGTTTTTGTCTGTGTGTAAAAGCGCCTGTGTGTAAAAAGCGTCTGTGTGTAAAAGTCTCTGTGTGTAAAAGCGTCTGTGTGTAAAAGCGTCTGTGTGTCAAAGCGTCTGTGTGTAAAAGCGTCTGTGTGTAAAAGTGTTTGTGTGTAAAAGTGTTTGTGTAAAAGTGTTTGTGTGTAAAAGCCTCCGTAAATGTGTTTGTGTGTGAAAGCGTCTGTGCGTAAAAAGCGTCTGTGTGTAAAAAGCGTCCGTGTGTAAAAGCGTTTGTGTGTAAAAGCATCTGTATGTAAAAGCTTCTGTGTGTAAAAGTGTTTGTGTAAAAGTGTTTGTGTAAAAGCTTCTGTGTGTAAAAGCTTTGTGTGTAAAAGCGTCTGTGTAAAAAGCGTCTGTGTGTAAAAGTGTTTGCGATGCAAACTATTGTCTTGCACTTCTCACTATTTTG